CAGAGGTGGGGAGCTCGGGGAGAGCGGGGTGGCCAGGGGCAGGGGGACGCTCCCAGGTGTGTGTTTTGGGGATGGGGTCCTCTGCGCTGCCTGCCCTCATGAGCTGCCTTGGCTCCAGGGGGAATCCCCTTGGCAGCAGGGTCCTGCCCCGCTGTGCAGGTCTCCAAGCGCCTTGTCCCTCACTTGGCAGGGGTGGGGCTCATCATCCCTATCTTGGAGCGCCCAGCCAGGAGCACAGCCCTCCGTGGGCTGAGCGTGTGGCTGCTGTGCCTGGCAGCCAGCATCTGTCCGTCTGTCTCCTCTCCCCATAACCTGGCATCTTTCCGCTGTCCCCAGGAATGTGACAATCTGTGGTGGGACGCCTTCACCACGGAGTTCTTCGAGGATGACGCCATGTTAACAATCACTTTCTGCTTGGAGGATGGACCAAAGAGATACAGTGAGTAGCAGCTTGAGCCCTCCTTCCCCAGGCTGTTGCCCTTCCAGCAGGAGATGCGGTGGTTGTGCTGCAGTGGGGTGGATGCGGGCAGGGTGTTGGAGCTCAGCTACCTTCAGCCGGCAGGGACTGGAGGGCCGCTCCCTGTGCAGCCCCAAGGCACATCTGGGTGAACCAGGTTTACTGACATTATCTTCCTTCTTCTCCCGCTCCAGCGATCGGCCGGACTCTGATTCCCCGTTACTTCCGCAGCATCTTTGAAGGGGGGGCCACAGAGCTCTACTACGTGCTCAAGCACCCCAAGGAGTCCTTCCACAACAACTTCGTCTCGCTGGACTGCGACCAGTGCACCATGGTCACCCAGCATGGCAAGCCCATGTTCACCCAGGTACCAGGGGCACCCACAGCTCTCCTGCCCCTCATGCCGTGGTCCGCTCTGTCCTTGCGGTGGCTGCAGTCCCACAGGGAGAGGGACACTGATTTCCATGGAGCGTTGGGTGCCACACTGTAATTCCACATGCCTCAGCCAGCCCTGCAGCATCCTCTTTTTGCAGAGATCCCCTGGCCATTGTGGGTTTGGCTTGTGCCAGGTCTCGTGGCAGGCAGGGTTAAGCCACTGGGAGGGTGTCCTAGTGTGCAGCAGTAGGTTCCCGGGGGGGATCCGGGCTGGGGGAAGTGGGGGCAGCCTGTGACCAACCCTGCGCCCTGCCCAGGTGTGTGTGGAGGGTCGGCTCTACCTGGAGTTCATGTTCGACGACATGATGAGGATAAAGACGTGGCATTTCAGCATCCGCCAGCATCGAGAGCTCATCCCCCGCAGCATCCTTGCCATGCATGTGAGTACTGGTGACACAGGGCTGCTGAGCTCCTCTGCCTGCTGCGCAGGTAGGGGGCACCTCAACCCTGTCCCTCCATCGCAGGCCAGGGTACAGGAGGGCTGTCCCCAGCCCAGATGTGGCTGAACCATCTGTCCCTCTCTCTCCTAGGCACAGGACCCCCAGATGCTGGATCAGTTATCTAAGAACATCACCCGCTGTGGGCTCTCAAACTCCACACTCAACTACCTCCGAGTAAGCATGTGGGGAGGGGAGGGGGATGCAGCTCTGATCCTGGGGGGACCCCTCGGGTGGCCACGTCTTGTGCTCTCAGCTGCCCGACGCCTGGCTGCCCTGGGGCATGGGGAGGCAGCGGGGCAGGCTCTGCGAGAGGGATCTTGCAGAGGGGCTGCAGAGAGCCATGGGGCAGTGGGTCTGCCGGACCCCGCAGGCTCCCAGCGTGGCTTGGGTCGGTGCAGCGCAGGTGGCTGCCTGACAGAGGGGCTTTTGCTGGGACCTGGGGCATCACGATCTGACCCCATGTCTGTCTGCTCCCTGCAGCTCTGTGTAATCCTAGAACCAATGCAGGAGCTCATGTCACGGCACAAGACTTACAGCCTCAGTCCCCGGGACTGCCTCAAGACTTGCCTCTTCCAGAAGTGGCAGCGGATGGTTGCTCCGCCTGGTGAGTCTCACGCTGCCTGCTGTGCTGCCTGCGGGTCTCCGGGGCTGCCCACTCAGGCTTTGCCCTCCGTGCGTGCTTCTCCCAGCCCCAGAGCCTGTCCCTGGCCTCATCTTGTGAGGCTGGGGGTAGTGAGTCAGGTATCCAGCTTCTGTCTCTGTTGGCCTGCCTTCCTGCTGGGGCAGAGTGGGGCTGCAGGCTGCCAGCTCCTTGTGGAAAGCACAGGAGGGACAGAAATCTTCCCTGCACCCTCTTCTGTCCCCTGTGCTGGGGGGACAGTGAAGCTG